TGGATTAGTCACAATGGTTTAACTAGAGAATCTCAAAAGGATGAGAGAGATGAGTGAAGAGACTGGTCCCCTTACCGGAGTACAGTTCTGCATTTTATATCTTCTCGTCACGGCACGTCTATCAGCATGGAGAGTGGGATTCAATATCGAGTCACTAGCACTTTTGTTTGGAGAGAGAGGTTCTCAAAGGTGAATAAAGTGCAATTACCGAGAAATGTGCTCCCAACACAAAAATTTAATATAAAGTTTTCATTATTCATTGTGCGTCAGCGCATCGCTCAAAGCAAGGATCATGGTTTTGTGACAAGCACCCGGGAATATGACCATGCAAAGCCTTACTGATTATTTCGAAAGCTAAGCTGGCGACGTTCCCCTGTTGATCCCATGTCTGCAGCAAACGTTCTTGGCGCGCAGTGAGTCGCCGATTATAAATGCATTATACTCTCTACCGTTAAGAATGTACGCGATGCCTTTTTGGAGCCAATCGATGGGTAAGATTCAAGCGCAGGCTGACTTGGAATTGTCTGACGGCTGTTCGTTGTATCGTAACACGTGGGCTACTTATGAGAAAGGGACAGATGGAGACGTTCAAAGTAAGTCTGCGTCAATTACACGGGCCTAAGATGAAATCCGAGTTGAATGAACGGCCATTGGCTGCAGACACAGCGGGCCATGATATAAATACTGCGGGCATCCTTAGTTCAAGAGACCAGTGTGAAACGGATGAAGACAGCTTCTAAGATTCGTTCCAAGGCCGACACTGTTTTTCCCTTTTCTCATGGGAAATTCCTTAAGCGAACAGCCTAGATGACAGACGAGCGAAGGTCGCCGCGGTCAGATTGTACGTATAAAAAGATGTACCCGCCTCAAGGATACCACTGTTCTTTTGCTATCTCTGAACGCGAATCACTGGATTTGGTACTGACAGAATCGAGAGCGTCATCAGACACTCTCATTAGTTTTTATCCGATGTGCTTATCTCTTTCGTTATATGATATCGGACCGTCAGATGCTTAATGAACTGTGTTATATGCATTGGTCTTCCGGTTCCTTGATTGCAAAATGCAACTAGTTAGGTGATGATACTGAACCTGTTTTATCGCAACAAGTGCCCACCACGAATCTCGCAAGCAAAGTCAAAATAGTCGCATTATCATGGATTCGAACGATTCACATTTAGAGGGAAATGACTTCTATCCAGCCTTCTTGGCGGTCAGCAACATATCCTCCTCCTTATACTGAAGCATACTATAGCCCCACGGACAAATCTCTGCAAACGGCGGAAATGATGAGATGGGCCCTCCGTCAATCAGTCTTTGCGGAACACCGCCCAGACATTTTAGTCTAAAGCAATTTGACAAGACACTAGTCATTAGGCTCGTAGAGCTGGCCCCGCTTCTCTTCATGCTCCCTTGCTTCTTAGTGGGTGCACTGACACCTTGGCCCCCAGCCGGCAGATTCAGCACACGGGAAGTACTCCGCACAGGACGGGAAACTGTGTGGCGCGCCTCCATCAATCACGGCTGAGGAACTTCACCACATGGTTTGCAATTTACGGATATTCACTAATCCACCATTCTCTAATCACTTGTCACCGGCCCCACTGCTCTTCATGTCCTAGTAGGTGCTTTAAGTGCTACCAGTCAAGTATTCCCTATATTGACCGGTGGGGTTGGAAAACACATATAAAGGAGTTGTACTCGGCGAGTTGAGAGTAGAGCACGGTCAAGCATTATTGACAATCTCCACTATGGCATTGACCACTGTTCTCAGTCTTTTGGCCGTTGCGGCCCAGCTCGCCACAGCTGTGGGTGTTTCCGGTGCGGCAGAGGGCTTCGCGAAGGGTGTCACTGGTGGTGGCAGTGCGACTGCGGTTTACCCTACCACGACTGACGAGCTGGTCTCGTACCTCGGTGACTCCTCGGCGCGAGTGATCGTTTTGCAGCAAACGTATGTGACATCTACCTAGCCCTAAATACCTTCCCCTCAACGAGATTCATGGTGTCGGAGGGCATGGCGGCACCCGATTGGCTCCGTCGGCCCACCGCCCGCTGAGGGCTGGGGATAGCCTCATCTCGGACATATGAGCTTATTCATGTTCGCGTCTATCGACAGAGTCATGAGCTAAACAATATAGATTTGATTTCACTGGCACCGAAGGCACCACCACTGCCACCGGATGTGCCCCATGGACTACTGCGAGCGGTTGTCAGCTCGCTATCAACCAGAATGACTGGTGCACAAACTATGAGCCTGATGCTCCAAGTGTCTCCGTGACCTAGTACGTGTCTATCATATAGCCAATTCGCAATCGCCAAATGCTAACGATATGTTAGCGACAACGCTGGTGTGTTGGGTATCACCGTCGCATCGGACAAGACTCTTATCGGCGTTGGATCCTCCGGCATTATCAAGGGCAAGGGTCTTCGCATTGTCAGCGGTGCCAGCAACATTATCATCCAGTCAGTCTCAAGATTACAAGGCTGTAGCTGTCTTCTAACAATGTCTAGGAATATTGCAATCACAGATATCAACGAGAAATATGTATGGGGTGGTGATGCCATCACCCTCAACAACGCCGATATGGTGTGGATCGACCATGTCACGGTTCGTCACCCACTGCCTCCATCTCCGTCATGTCTTCATCCGCGTTCTGTTTCTTCCAAGAGAATTCGGTCTATTTTTCTTCCAGCATGGCTAACAAGCAAGTAGACCGCCCGCATCGGCCGTCAGCATGTCGTCCTCGGCACCAGCGCCGACAACCGCGTCACCATCTCCAACTCGTACTTCAACGGCGTCACCAGCTACAGCGCAACGTGTGACGGCTACGCATACTGGGGTTTATATTTCGACGGCTCGTCTGATCTGGTCACTCTCCAAAAGAACTATATATATCATTTCAGCGGCCGGAGCCCGAAGGTCCAGGGCAACACGCTTCTGCACGCCGTAAGCGAAGATTTGCCTCAATTGAATACCTGTGCAGAACCAGAAAGACGACTAACAAGCCGCTACTAGGTAAACAACTACTGGTATGACTCCGATGGCCACTCGTTCGAGATTGGTAGTGGGGGTTACGTGCTGGCCGAAGGCAACGTCTTCCAGAACATCGACACTCCCGTCGAATCGCCGGTATCGGGACAGCTATTCACCTCCCCGGACTCGACAACCAACGCCGTTTGCTCAACCTACCTTGGCCGCTCGTGCCAGATCAATGGGTTTGGAAGCTCGGGCACCTTCTCGCAGTCGGACACTGCTTTCTTGGTTAACTTCGAAGGCAAGAACATTGCGACTGCGTCGGCGTACACGGCAATCCAGACTACCGTGCCGAGTAATGCGGGACAGGGCAATCTCTGAGCAATTAGCCAGCCCTGGGGTATATCTCAAAGTATCTCTCGAGCTGTTTTGTAAAGAGAGAGCAGCAAGATAGCTAGGTAGGAATAGTACATATGCACATTTGGCATTATCATCTGGAAGGCCAGTAATTAAATCCTACATACAACACTGCTTCCTCCTCACAGCTGACACGCGGCAATAACACGAAGCCTTGACCGGAACATCGGCCGTTGCAACGGCGATATCCCGCGCCGACTGCATAAACACCGCCTCGTCACTTTTTCCCTGCCGAGCAAAGCACTCATAAGCCCAGGCCTTACTCGAAAGACATTCGACGTCCATATCATCGCGCAATTTTGACTTAGTAAAGCAATTCTTGCCTACCATGGTCAAATCCAACGACGGACATGTCGTTGCTGTTGCAAGCATGGCCTCATTTGTTACCCAGTCACAGAACGTCGGGTACGCCTGAACCAAGGCCGCGGCACTTGCCTTCCACGAAGGACTAATGCAAGAGCTTAAGCATCGATATAATGCCCCCAAGGTTCGAACCAGGTAACATCATTTCTCGTTATTATTTCCTCTCTTTCCTTTTTGTCCTGACATGATCAATCCGCCTTTCAGCATTATTCTTCCAACCTGGATTCGCACTCCCCTGATTGAGAAACTCACCAAACCTTTGGAGTTCAATGAATCCGTCCTTGATGCAGACACTGTCGCGAGTGCAATTGTTAAACAGCTTTACTCGGGTTACGGGGGGCAAGTCATCATTCCTGCCAGGCTTAACATAATGGCCGGAATTAGAGGCTTCCCTTCCTGGCTTCAGGAGTTCTTTCGCGGCGGCATGGCGAAGACATTAGAACCCGCAGGGTGCTAGCGGTTGCTGGAACGCATATGGACCATATACCCTAGTGCTTGGGTGGTGCAGAACTGCTCTGCTCTATCTCCAGCAACAGATAGTAAGTAGGCTGTCGCAACGCCCTTGGCTTGGAGGGGCTATCATGGGACAATAAATGACCTATTTGGAATTTTTCATGGTGGTGTTTTTATAGACGTGCAGGTTATAGATACACTCTGAACCGGCTCAAAATCCCACACTACCTTCATGTGATTTCTTGTTCTGCTATAGCAAACGACATTAAGAATGCACACGATCCCTACCTGCCGATATGGGTAACCAGTGCTTATAATATAGGCGACACCCCTTTCTTTACAGAACCAGGAAGAAGGCGTTGTCATCGAACTGAGAAAAAACCAGGGAAAACACCACTGCTACAGAAACTCCGTTAGGCATGTTCTCGGATTACTCAAGATAATCAAAAGTCTTCTTCCCGCCTTAGCATCGATGTGGCAAGTGGAGGACACGCTGAACATGAAATGACGTTTTGGATCCGATAATGGACAACTTGGAAGGAGATCGAGCGGGGCATTTCCGTGCCGGCCAAATCTATTGCCCGATGGCCGCAATCGTCCGCCGTACCGTACTCTGTAGATTCGGTGGTAAGACTCAAAAGCCCGCCTTGGCGGTCGGTACTTAAGTTAAAAGACAACCGTAGTTCCGATTACTAAACGGAGCAGATCAAATGGGGCGCCGCAACACGAAGTCACGAGACCGGACACGAGGCCAGTCACCGGAACCTCTCGCCACCCCACGTGCGCTCCATACCTTATCCTGTATCGATTGCTCATTTCCCTTCAGGTGGCAGTAGTCACTGTTCCGAGTCTTTTGTGTAATCTCAAAGCCATTCCATCCGATATCGTCATGACGAGAAAGGGTCTCAGTGCAGCGGAAATCAAGCCGTGGTCCTCGGGTCGTGTTTTGACGGGGAGGCAAAGAGAACGCAAGCGACTGGTCAACCGTGCTCGCGGCCATAGGTCCAGAGATCGTCTTCAACAATCCACAGAAGCTATAGAAAGGGGAATATCCCGGATTGAAGAAGAGCTTCTGAAGTATCTTGGTGAGTAATTGTTACGAAAGAAGATTGCACAGTACAGATGCTAAACTATACATAGGATCAGAGTTCGACACAGCAGCATCAGTCAACCCACGGGTCTTCCATACACATGAAGATTATAACGCAAATACAGCGCCTCTAAAAATACTACCGGAATGCACCAAGACCAATTCGACGTGCCAGTCCATGAGAATCGGATCTCTTCATTCCTCGGTGGCTAGTCAAAAAGAAATTATGTGTCCGTTGACCGAGAAACCAAACATGATTGCCAGCTTCAATACAAGTGGCTTAAGCATTAGCTCTCATATGAGTTATCTATGGCGGGCTAGCATGGTCCTTGGTACGATTCATCTTCTACATCCAACACAAGTTTGCTTTGACGATGCGATCAATCAACATGCATTGATATGTGGGGTCATAGACGGCTGGCATACTATTATGCGCAAACAACCTTGCTGTCCCGTTTGGAACATCCTTTGTCGGATTGACATGAGCATCAAAATACGCAGTGGAACTGAGACCCGGCTTGCCATGCTACGTGGAATACATCTTCTTCTTCTTGTAAGTGCTTACCTCCGTCAGTGAGCCAAGATATCAAAATAACAGTGACAGTGCTTTGTCTCTCCCCATCTTTATTACACTCTGCCGGAATGGTACCGCCCAAAGTAAGTCAGACTTTGATAGATATAGAATCTGTATGGCTTATTAAAAAAGGGAACGCGGAGGGTTAGATTCGCAGGATATTGTTTCTGATTACTTTGCATGGTTAGTTTACCTGCACCCACGCTAATCTCCTTGTTTTCTTTCTTTTACTCTTTTTACCTCAGGCTTCGTACCCTTTTCATTTCAATGTAATCGGACCTTGCCGGGGATGTCATCCGCTGATATGTAGTCTGCTTATACGTGTTCAATTTCACTGACTTATCAGGCCTGAACTACGTGACTCGCTCGCTTCCACTCGACAGCCGGAGTTGAATGATACTTTCTGGCAATTCTTTGCCAAATGCTTCCGCTTCATATGGCCCCATGGAGTTGTTAACGCGATCGATGTGGATTTCTGTTCCGGTACCTACAAACTTTCCGGCTCATTTCATGATGGCACGCAGGAAGTCAGTCGCTATGCATTAGATCCTGAGTTTTTCGGTTTTTATCCTGAGCTGAAGGGAATATTGCCCATTTATGCCGATTCACGATGAGGATACCATGCGGCTTTTTGCAGAGATACTTGCAGCATTTGTGCGGGGCAATATTCTGAGACAAAGATTACTCTGAAGATGGGGCTTCTGCTACCAAGTGCAAATCAAGCATGCATTTAGTCTCGTGAGTGACCGGTTGATTGTGCGGAAGACCAGTGCGGCCACTCGGCAAATAAAAATTCTGCCGGCAAAATCACATGCGGGAGAATGAAATATACGTATACTACCTACCTAACTACCCTAAATAAGAAAAATGACAAACAGTATCTTATAAATAAGAACCTTTATAACAATACTTTCGGCCTCTAAAGACTCTAAATCCTATATTGTCTCCACCCCCACTGTGATTTGGAACTGTGGAGTAACACTGTGACCGGAGTTCTCGGCAAACAAAGAAGAATCGGGGAACTGGATGAGCAATATCACTATTGCTTTCACGGAGATTTCGACAGAAACAGTCAAATAGCAGAAGCTCAGGTATTTCCCCGCACCGTCCCGGTGTCATGGGCTCGCATGGCGGGACCGGTTGGGTGCGATTTAATTGCCTCCAATTGGTCTCTAAGTGTTGCCGGGAGTGGAGGACATAGAACATCCAAAATAGTACCGAATTTTGAATATCTGATAATCAATAATTTACAAATGTCCCAATGGAGCGAGAAGTACAGCAACCCAACGAAGCCTGTGAGCTTATTTAAAGTCATACTGGATTCTTCCATACGATATCCATCGAAGTACGCGATGAACCTGCCAATGAAAGCTTGTTAAATCTCGTTAATATGGACTTATTTCTTGATGTTGTGATTATTGGCGCTGGCATGTCTGGCATCAATTTTGCGCATCGCCTCCAGCAGTCTAATCCTACTCTCTCCTTTGTTGTCTTAGACGCACGGAACTCAATTGGCGGAACCTGGGATTTCTTCAAGTATCCTGGCATACGATCTGACTCCGACCTATACACATACGGCTTTTCATGGTATCCGTGGACAGAAGACCGCGCGATCGCCGATGCAGCGAGCATCAAACATTACCTGAATAAAGCGATCGAGTACACTGGCCTGGCGTCTCATATCAAGTTGCGTCATAAGGTGACGAAGGCAGATTTCAGCAAGGAGAGCGCAAAATGGACGTTAACAGTTGAGGAGGATGGTCGGATAAAAGTTAGCATCCTATATCTCCACCGTTTGAATCGGTATTTTGCAAGCACTATGTCTTTTCGCCTTCCACCAGCTTCTATTTCCGCCTTTTCGTCTCCATATGACTCTTTGTTCAAGCACACGGGATATGAGAAATGGTACTAAACATTCATTAGTCCATGATCTCTCGATACACCATATTTGGTACTGGATATTACGACTACGAACAGCCTCTGAGTACGACAATCCCAGAGCTCAGTCAATTCAAGGGACAGATAGTACATCCTCAGTTCTGGCCTGATGATCTAAACTACAAGGATAAAAGAATTGTGATCATTGGGTCAGGTGCGACAGCAGTAACACTACTTCCCAACCTTGCCAAACAAGCAAAACAAGCCATCATGCTGCAGCGCAGTCCAGGATATATCGTGTCAATGGATAACAGAGCCTCACCGTTGCTGAAGTGGCTTCTTCCGAAGGCGCTTGTCTGTGGAGTGCTAAGGTTCTGGTTCCTGACTTCGCTTTTTCTTCAGTTCCAATTCTGCCGCAAATTCCCAGAGTTTTCCAAGCGGAAGCTGAAAGACAACATGAGGCGCCAGCTCCCCCCAGACATTGATATCCAACCACATTTTTCGCCAAAGTACAATCCTTGGGAACAGCGGCTCTGTCTCTGTCCCGATGGAGACTTCTTCGCTTGTCTGCGAGCCGGTACGGCCTCGGTAGTGACAAGCCGCATCCGTGGATTCCGGGAAAATAGCCTTCTACTGGAGAAAGGAAACAGAATCGATGATGTTGACATCATTGTGACTGCGACTGGGCTCAAGCTGGTCTTTGCGGGGAAGGTTCAGATCTCAGTGGATGGTACCAGCCTCGATACCTCAAAAAAGCTTCTTTGGAGAGGTTGTATGTTAGAGGATACACCAAATGCTTGCTTCCTCATGGGTTATACTAATGCTTCGTGGACCCTTGGAGCCGATGCATCGGCTGTTCTCTTCTGCCGTCTGCTGTCCGATATGCAACGGTCACAACAAGCAACTGTGACACCCTGTTTCCAGGGAGATACGAAAGAAAGGACCTCGATGAAAACAGCCTCATATTTGAACCTAAACAGTACCTACGTGGCAAAGGCCACAGCCGCCTTGCCAAAGATAGGTGACAGAGGCCCGTGGAGGATGCGGCGTAATTACTATCTTGACTATTGTATTGCACGATGGGGTAATCTTTCTAATAGTCTCTCTTTTGGCAAGGACGATGTCACTCAGAAGAAGAACTTATAAATCTTCTTCCTCAACCAAATCGATGCTTGTCGGGAGCAGAGAATACTACCATGCATAATCCTGTTGTGAAAAATCCCTCATGCTGCTACTCTCCTTTTCAATTCCCAATCCGTAGCTGCTGATATGGAATTCACTCTGTGCATAAATTGAATTATCCCCTCTAATAGTTTTCATACTACTATCACTTTCACGGAATTGAATCAAGTTCCTTTGGATGCTGTATTATGTACAGTACCAGACTCCTCAAACTGATTTTTACTTTTCTTCCTCTATAATCGTGATGGAATTCTTTTTTCTTTTTCTTTTTTACTGGACAGCAGATGGCCTTGGCTTTTCTCGACCTCTTATTGATCTTGAATGTTGGCCTTCAGCTTTCCTGAAACCAATTTGGCTAATACTTTCCTGGCCCCTTTCTTTCCTCTCTTGAAATATCCATGGCCAGAGAGCCATATGAGCCGACCATGGGGCCGAAATAACTCTTTGGATAACCTGAGGGAGCCGACAAACTCTCATCTCCCTGTAGTAAGGTTTGATATTTTTAGCTCAGCGAGGGAATACGCTACTCTCTAATGGACAAATCTAGGCCCACGCAATCACTAGAAACAAAGGATGTCTACCACTTATCTTGCTAAATGGGCATGCGCTTTTCGCGTATTTCACATGCCTTTAAATACTCACTCTCAGCCTGATGAAAGAACCAGGGTGTATAATATTTGCAAAATTCTTTTGTTACATTCTTTCCTGACAGTGTTTTGGAACATTGGGCGTGTATGCTCTATGCTGAGAACAGAAGCTTTTGAGAAAGGACAAAAACGTCAAAGATGACATCCATAGAGCCTTCTCTCTTGCGTGCTAGAGAATGCGAAGGGAACACACAAATATCCAGCTGCGAAAAGCCTACCAGCAAAGTGCTTACAGATGGCGTGCCAGTTGCCATAACATGCGGGTAAGTAGGCCAATATGGAGGGACGCGCTTGGTCTAACTCTTCTAGAATCCTGGTGGCTGCATTCATCGTCTTGTTTTACCTATACACTCGGGCTCGTACAAGACAAAAACAAGAGGATCGTGAAGAGACCTCTGGGTTTTATCATTGACGTCCACGGAGGAGAAATAGCCGCTCATGGATTCGTGTCCTTTTCGACTATTGAGCGGTGAAACAACTTGAACGGGACCGCAGGCGCATCTCTTCATTCGCGATAGAAACTAGCACAAGCAATATTCCAATCGAAAGCGGAGGGACCAAGAGGCATGTGACCCCAGTTGGCTTAGCGATGTTGAATGTGAAGACCATAATCTGACTGGCAACGGCATTGTTACTGCCTCCTCATCTTGAACGGCGACGGGCCTGTGTCTCGGCACCTCACAATGTATAGCAGAAGCTACTTTATCTTTTCTCCGATCCTTTCTTAAAGCCCTGTTTGACTCTACAGTATCCTGTTTTCCTTCTAGTATCTTTTGATCCCAATTATTGGCGCAGCAGTTCTCCTATTACTGACCTAGACATTATGGCAATAGACGTATTAGCTGATAACTTTCTATCCGCTTACTAAGCCACATTGTACTTCGCTCCCGAGATGGTGGGGGTCCACACCTACTTGCACATGAGGACTTGCGCGAGTCCTATGCCACTTGCATCTCGCTTTAGGATCGGTGTTGTCCCACTTGGTCGCCTGCTACAATACTAATTTAGGCTTGTGACGTATTTCAGTGTGTGGTGGACAAGAGACTGTCGAGGGTGAAGGGGACGGGATACTCGACGGACTTGGGCCGGGGAGTGCGATTTTCCCAAATCCGATTGGTCAGCTTACAAGCCGGTGGAGAGACAATAAACCCAGGCTTACGTGGGGCTAGAGCCCGCTGGACCCGGTTGGTTGCAAGATAAGCTATGAACGCCCTTGAGTAAATCAGAATCCTGGTGTTCAACGACTTATCGATGCGTCGACCGAAGGAAATTCTATGTTTAATATTTCAAGACTCTTTCCACTACAAATGGTGTGCCTACTATAAGATGGCCGAGTCCCTGAAGTTGTGGTTGGAAACCCGTCTACGATTTTCTTTTCTTATTGAATCCAGGGTTTATGATTGATTTTCCTCTCTTGTTTGCATCATTCTCATCTCACAATGGCTGGTGAAAGAGTTCACTTTACAGCTTACGACGGGCTCAGGCTTGCTGGGATACTCTACAGTGCAGGGGAGCAACGCCCATGCGTGATCATGACAAATGGAGTAGGTTCCCGCATGAGGTCTGCTGCTTCCAGGGCTAATTGATTAATCTATTTCTCCAGTTCTCCGGGCTAAAAGAACAGTTTCTCCCGGACTTTGCAGCTCGATTCAACGCCGCCGGCTACACCGTTCTGATCTACGACAACCGTTGCTGGGGCGAAAGCGAAGGCACCCCGCGGAATGAAGTTGATCCCCTGCTTCAAACGCGAGACTACTATGACGCATTCAACTACGCGACAACACTCCCTTCGGTGGACGCGACCAAGATTGTTTACTGGGGCAGCAGCATGTCTGGGGGCAATGCGCTGGTTGCTACCGCGGTGAACAAATGTGTGAAAGCAGTGATTTGCCAGGTCCCATTTGTCTCGGCAGAGCCAATGATCCCAGCATCGACAGTACTATGTCGCACGCTTCTGCAGGATCGTGCAAGTATCATCCGCGGGAAGATGCCGTTGATGGGGCCGATTCTTCCTGCATCGCTGGAGGAGGTTGTTCTGGGCACATCCAAGGCGATATTGAAGGATGCTAGTGCGGTTGTGTTTGTGGAGGAGATGAACAGACGAGGTCTCAAGATTGAGACCTTCGTTACGCTACAGAGCCTCTTGCATGGAGTTGGAAATGAGCCAGCAGCTTGGGTCAGGCGTATTGCCCCGAGGCCCATGCTCATGGTAGTTGCGGACCAGGATGTCACCTGCCCGGTCGAGACGCAGCTGGCTGTTTTCAATCAGGCATTGCACCCGAAGACGTTGCATATTCTGAAGGATACTTCGCATTTTGATCCGTATTTTGGGCCTGCATTTGAGGAAAATGTCCAGGTGCAGCTGAACTTCTTGAAGGATGTGTTCCAGTGAAATGGTAGCCTATCCCTAGCTGATTTCCTCGATCAAGCACCAGTTAGAAAGCAACACCTTCTCCGGGGCCCCGCGATGAAGGTCCTAACATACCCCCAATCGACACCATCCGCCTCAGCCACGAAGACCACCTCGACAACCAAAAATTGTATACTAGATTGGAGATGAGGGGCAATATGTCTTTGCCGTCTATTCGTGCATGATGAAGCTTTGGCTCCCGAGAGAGCTGCCTTGCCTCAATGTACCTATCATATATTCAATACCAATTACCTGAGGAATCCTAACCACGGTCAACAAGATTTCATATTCTGGCAGTCCATGAAATTAACTTGAGCCCGAAAAATATGATTGCGAAAAGTCGTACAAGCTATACTCTATTCAAGAGATCCAATTTCAATGTTTTTAGCCCATGTGGAGTCTTACAAGTCTCATCATAGAAATGGTTCTGAAGCTATTATTTCTGAATAACTTTAGGTTCTTCTCATTGAATTGCGTTTATTGTTGAGTGCAAGTGGTTTGTAGAGAGTATGGGGGTAACAACTAACATCTTGATAGGCATAAACACCAACATGCGGAAACAAAAGTACTATGTACGTATTGTCGAAGATGAATTCATTTTCATATGACCACGGCATGGGTGAGTCTTGAGGGGTTAATGAAATGCAAGATTCGTGCTGAATGTAATGATCAGGGACTTGGAGGTTCCAAGCTTGTGGATGTAGGTAACCGCGCGCCTGTGTGTCTAGCATTTGGAAAAGGTGATATCATGTTCTACATATGATTCGTCCTGCACGACGCGAGTAGAGCTTGTCTTTCAAATTTCCCTTTGGCTTGGGAGGCCCACGACCGGCATAATGTATGAAAAGCATCCAAAACGTATATGATCGCTGGAAACCATTGGCTAAGATCAGAAGTAATAAATCCCGCAAAACTCGCAAAGCTCGCAGAATCCGTGTGAGGTACGGTCTGCGGGTGAATCCGGGGGTGGTGCGCTCGAGCCGGAGCAGTGTGTCCACTAATTCAGGGGAGGATGCCGCTGGGCTGCAGCGGGTCGAGCGCGCGCGCGGTGGTTGTGAGATAATGCTGGGGGAACTGGATTATACAAGCATAGAATAAATTGACAGGAATAAGAACGACACCCACGCTCACTTTCTTCTGCGGCGGGATTCCAGCTCAAGAAGAGAGCAGATCGGTCTCGTCGTTCTTCATCCGGCCCGGCAGTCTCATCTTCGCGAAGGCCAGCTCCAGTGGCAAACCGGGGTCTTTCTTCACGCGCGGGGGCAAGAAGGCGTGGAGCCACTTGGCCATCGGCCCCGTCGCGGAGCCCTCAGGAGACTCGATCTCCATCTCCCACGTCCGCAGTAAAACCTCGCCATCGCGCTCGACCAGGTGGAGGAACTTGTTTAGGTGTCCACGCCGCCGGATGATCCCTGCGTGGCGGGGGTGTTTGAGCACGGCGGCGCTCTTACAGGCTCTCTCCTCGCGCGGCTTTCGGCTTTCGAGGTCGAGGGGCGCGACGAGCACGTAACCGGATTGGAATTGGTAGCGCATCTCGGCAGGGTGCTGGAATCGTGGGTTCAAAATTTGGTTCTAGACAAAGGGGTGACAATAGATGATGATCTTGGGATATTTGGGGAGAGGGGCGAGGGAAGCTTTGTGCTCCTTTATAGGCCACGGAAAGGCATTGTACCGGTCAGACTTTGTGAGACGACAATGGCATTGTTTGGATGAAAGAGCACCAACATGAACCCTTGCAATTCATTGTTATGATCGAGACCAAGTATATACTTTTATCCCTTGTTTCAAGTCCAACTGGTACACCGCCCAGGGCCTCCAGCTAGTAATCACAAAGAAATCACGCGCTTATATGTTGCTATTCCGGACCTGCTTTAGTTTTCAGCCGAAAGGGTACTGCGTACAACCTAAGGCCCAGCACATGGGCTGCCTGAACAATGACCAATAACGACCAAGTGACAAGACACGCTCTACTTCTATCATCCTTTCATATTCTACTTCTAAAGTCACATCTGGAATATCCACGTTAATGGACAGAGAACCTTCTTCTCCACCCCTAGCGTCAGCCAGTGTACCCTCTCATTAACCTCTTCTTCCTCCAAAATCCGTCATAGGTCCGCCTGATGGCATGTCAAATGCTCCCAAGATTCAAAGTGAATCGGCACCATTGCATTCCTCCGAACACCCGCATCAGATGCGCGATCTGCTGTCCGTTAAAGGTGATCTGCATCATCCCCTTGGGAGTCGGAAATAAGGCGTTTCCCATGTTCAGCACCGCGACTGCAACATGTCACTGTTCCCGGATACGGGCCAGCTCGGCGATCCACACAGTATCGCCAGAGAATTAGACCACATTCGGGAGGCCGTCGTCACTCACTCCGAAAGACTCGCTTTCGACGATAAAGCCTGTGACCTCACCACCGGGGAAGTGCTTACAGGGACTGCCTGCAATACCGAAGTGCTTGCCGCTGATAACCGCCTCCACGGTCTGCCAGGGCTGCAGACCCACGACGGCCGGCTCCTCGAACTGGCGTAGCATTGAGGTCGACGGCTGTTCCATGAAGCCCCAGGGTTGTCTATCGGAAATGTATTCCGGGCCTAGATGATATCAATTAGCTAGATTTGTGAGGTGTACTAGGATTATCTTGTACTACTGTACTTGATACTCTATTCAAATAATCTTATATATTTTTCATTAACTGTTGAAATCTGCTACTATAGTTGTTAGTAGTATTGATTATTATGTATAGTATATAATGTGAGTTAAATCTGAAAGATAGTTCTAGAGGCCTCACAACGGCTAAGAGGGCAAAATAGTTTGATGAACAAATGACTCTCGAGACCAAGGGTGCCAATGTATTGCCTTACGGTGTTGTTGCTAATCTGCCTAATTCGCAGGGCCGTCGCTGCCTTTGTGGCCTGCTCCCTCGTCTGTCACATTGTTGATGCCTCAGGCCTGATATATAGTATTTTTTTGTGAAGAATTGCAAGGGTTGGAAGGTCTGGTAGGGCCCTTACATAAATCTGTTACTTTTGTCTACCGATTGGACTTAGAGAAAGTCAACCTCAGAATGGAATAAGAAATCAAGAATTGAAAAATAGACATATAACAGAATAAACAGGATAGTGATTTATGGAAGTCAAGATATAATTCAGTTCCAAGCTCTCCGTGGCTCGGTCTTAGAGGAAGCCCAATTGCTGGTCCATCACGTTGCGCACCATCTCCTCCCAAGACCGCCATTGCATTCCCAATTCAACTTCGGCTTTGGTGGTATCAGTCGGCATAGAGGCGCCCTCAGCGCGCTCTGTAAGCTTGACACCAACATTGGGGTAGAACTCGTGCGCAATTCGAGCGACCTCTTTCCATGTTGTTGGCGGCCCAGAGAGCAGATACTTGGTACCATTCTTTATCTTCGGGTCTAACGCCTTGATGTGGGCCTCAGCAACATCTTGGACGTGAACACCCGTGATGCCTCCAAGTGGGACGCCTCCCATCACACTACCCCAGATGATTCCATTGGATCCTGCTTCAATCTCTTTGGCGGAAGATTGCACGAGATTGTGCCCGAAGACAAAGGACGGATGAAGAGTCACCAGGGAGTACTGCGGGTTTTCTGTCTTCCAAAAATCCCATGTCGCATTGTTCGCAAGCAGCTTGGACGCTCGGTACAAAGTCATCGGTGTTGCCGCGGGATTACTGGGATCAACAAAATCTGCTGTGGCATCCACGGCCAAATCCCAGTCGTTATCCTCTGTGGCTGATGTTAGCATGGCAGGGATAGGAGCCCTAAATTATGTTCATTAAACATACCTCTAATGACACCACCGTTCAGAAGTCCAATAAGAGGAATCAAGGAAGCGATAGATGAAGTAACCACCACCTTCTTAATTCCTGGAACCTTAGCTGCCTCCTTGAGTACAGCCAGCGTTCCTTTCACCGCGGGGGGGAAAAAAGCTTCCTTGTCGGTGCCGTTGGCAAGAGGCGACGCTAGGTGGAGGACATAGTCCACTCCATCCAGCTTCCCTCGAAACGCAGCCTCCTCGGTGAGATCTGGAACGATGACAAATTCCAGTTGCTCGCGGTACTCTGACAACAATGATTCGAGTTTCTCGGACTTCTGGCGAACGGCAATTCGAAGTTGATATCCGGACTTGAGAGCTTGAACAGCCGTGGCACTGCCAATAAAACCGGTAGCACCAGTTATGAAAATCAACGGAGCAGGCATGATGCAATGGTACTTTGAAGAATCTGGATAATGATTTATTTTGAACTGGTATCAGGGCGATCTTTATAACATGAGAGTAAATCGATCATCCATTCCTGTCGCCGGATACGGGTACGAAAATATCCGAGATGATGGTGCCATGACTTTCCACCGGCTAACATCGAGCCTGATGGCCCATCACCAGTATCCAAGTCATGAGCAAGAAGATAAGGACCTCATACATTACTCATCATCCGCTCCCTGGTCGTAATCAAATAATCCCCGAGCCCTGGAACATGGAACCATGCAGAAGATATTCTACTGTATTAAAGTTGGTGAAAGGTGTCAAGGATACAAGGAGGACCCATATAGGTGGAGATTTGTCATCCATGGCATTGATTACCAACAAGATCTCATCCCACGATTGGGAGAGTTATTGTTAAATAGCCTTGGCATAGTGTTGTATGAATAGGCTTCTATACACACGTATATGGTTATCATTACTTTTCATATCATTACCTCAATCATGTCTACTCAGAAGGCCGTTGTCGTTACCGAACCTTTCGAGCCAGGGGATTTCGCGCACGCCAAGAAGTTCACTCAGCTGGCTCAGGCTCTTTTGGCTAGGGCAAGATCAAAGCCCCATCCGCCCAAGATTGGAAAGGACGGTCTACGTGGTGTCTTGGAAGGGATAGACCTGCTCAGGACCAACAAAGTCAGTGGTGCGAAACTGGTTTACAACGTTGGGGAGACTTTTTAGTTAGGGAGATCGACACATCATTCACGTATAGTTCATCATAAATAAATCTCAGTTCGGAGATCAAGTACGATAGCCCATTTTTGACTTGTCTCGATTGCTCGGAATTGTAGCTATACTACTTTCCTGATATGCATGTATATCTTATTGGTTTAGATCTTGCCAAGTACATTCTGCGCCGATATCCTAGAGTGTCAGCACCAAGCGGCCTTGATCATTCGAATATAGGTAGCCAGCGTGGCCAAAGGCTACTTCGGGCCTAGGACAACTAGTCAAGATTGTTGAAGTTGAAGGGGATCCATATACTCCAGGTGTATCCGTATCAGGGCAGGGTTAGGCTCGTATTCGTACCTGTAGCCACGTTTGGCATGCACAGAGATCGGCGATGTGGCGGAAGCCGAGTCCGTACAAGCCACAATCCTGCTTATTTGACCATGTCCTGCTCCGTTGACTGGTGCAACTTGTCCTCACTTTTTAACTTTTCTTGCGTTTCAATATCCATTTTGCACTTTTTTGCCCCCGTTTTTTGGATTCAAGCAGTCCCCCTTGCTGTCTCAAAACACATTTGTAAGCATCTAGGGTTGGGCGGGAAGACGGTGGTATTGATTAGTGAACATGCCGAGGCGAAGGTTGGAACTTCGGGGCAAGTTACAACTGTTCTTCCAATTCCAGGAGTAAATCCAACTTATTGGTCGATCAGGAAACGCCGTAAACGCCTGTCGGATTCCAAGATAGTCGATAGGAATGTAATAACAATCCGAACGAGCCACCTGCAAACACCATATAATTTTTATGCATACCAACGACTTGAGAAAACTGATATCTTTACCATTTCTGTTTCAATTGGCATTATCTTAAGTAAAGTGGACAGAGCCTCTTTATGGAATATGATAGTCTATGATATTCAACGAGGGAAATCTGTTATTTGCACAAGGAATACGGGATACGATATAGTCGGTAATATATGTCATTGTATAATCTGTGTGTCACTATTCTTAAGAGCTCTATCAATACTCGGCCCGCTATGGACCACCAAGGGTAGGTAGAGTGACCTCCTGGTTGCGTCAGCTGGTAAGCCAACGAAATCCTCTAAATGTAGATCAATATCACGGTCTTACGCTTGATATCAAGTTCGTTCGTTTACAGTTATTAATGATTTATCCTGACGTTGACAGCTTGGACCAGCAGATGTGTGAGCTGGGGCCGGACGCCTGTGTTTTAAGGCAATGATGTGGAGAAGGTCCTGCGCTTGCCGAAAGCTGTGTGAGCTTCGAATTCATGTAAATTATTGATAACAAGTGGCTGATATACGCTCGATGTGTCTATTCATACTAAGGTCCCTGGTTTGGTTCTGGTTTAGCTCGGTTACTCAAGAATATTAAAAAGAAAAGGAAAATAAAATAAAATAAAAGCTCTATCTGACCTAGTATCCAACAATTTTCATGTAATTTCTATAAACTTTACGGGAACAAATTGTATGCAGAAAGCCGCCGAATGATAAAAAGTGGGGTTAACGAAGGATCTAATGGGGGGTCGAATCTTGGAAAATCGGGGAGATCACTAATCACTTCGATAGCTGTGGTAGCTGTGGCTGTAATTGACCTACCGTCGGCCCGAAGCAGTGGTTCGCCAAACGATGGAACCGGGGAAGGTCTTCTCGGTCTTGAGACGCTTGCACTTCAATTTGTCAACATTTACCAAGGCCAATGACATCCACTAACAATGAAGGTTTACCCTGGCCGTGGACAAGGTCATTTGCCTCAGGCTCCTCTCTTCAGGTCGGCGATTCAAAGCGGGATCCATGTTCTAGTAATGTGATGGTTTGTAAGCGTTACAACTTCACAATAGTTCGCTCCTGTTCCAGGCACTATGAGCTAATCACTTGATGATTATACCTTACATCCGTCAACCTGAGGTTCATTCGAGCTTCTAAATAGTCAACTTTTCAAGTGATCTTAATGTGCTTTCCCACCAGAGTTTCAGTTTGATTTGGTATTGCGCACGAGTGCTCCATCTGTTCAATACTTCCTACTTCCTGTCTTCCTGCTGAGATCACAACATTGCAAACCCACCCGCCCTAATGAAAGCAGTTATCACACATCGATTCTTGCCTAAGCGTCTACTGAGTCTCGCTCTCAGTAGTCCTCTTGGGCAGGGCGCGCAAATCAAAGATGTCCCAACCCCAAGCATCACCGATGATGAGGTCTTGGTCAAGGTGCGCGCTGTCGCGCTGAACCCCATCGACTTCAAAGACATCGATTTCGTTTCCCCACGCAATTCTGCCATTGGCTGCAACTATGCGGGTGAGGTGGCTCGGGTCGGCAAGAATTCAGGACAGCGTTGGAAGGTTGGAGACCGAATCGCTGGCTTTGTCCATGGGGGCTTATATCCCGACGTTGGCTCATTCGCCGAGTACCTGAAAGTCGATGGAGACTTGGCCTGGAAGGTGCCTGACGAAACGACCCTGGGCGAAGCCACCACCTACGGAGTTCCCGCAGCCACCGCGATGCTGGCCCTTTCGTACCTTAACATTACCCGGGTGGATATGGAGAACGGACGCAGCGCTCAACAAGGGGACCCTCCGGCCATTCTCATCTATTCAGGAGGCTCGAACGTCGGTCTCTTCGCCATTCAGTTGGCCAAGAGAGCAGGATACACGGTTGTGGTCACGGCCTCGCCACGTTCCTTCGACCTCGCAAAGCGCTATGGTGCCGATGCAGTATACGACTATCGGACATCTGCATCCATTGGCGAGATCAAGAAGGCCTATCCAAACATCACAAAAGCTCTCGACTGCTTTTCCGAAGGCACTTCTGCCGCCTTCTGCGCTGATGTGTTTCGCGAAGGTGGCAAAGTGATCACGCTTCTTGATCAAGGAAAGCCGAAGAAGGAGAACGTGACCTATGATTTCCTCATGGTTTACACTGCCTTCGGTCGCAAGTTCCAGATGTTGGCGCCTCTTGGCCCCGTGTTCCCGGTGAAGCCGGCAGACCGTGAAGTCATCAGCAAGTTTTATGGTAGCTTGCCCAGCCTGAGGCTGAGGCCTCCACCCATCACCACAATCAAGGGCGGCTTCAATGAGATATTCGGAGGTCTAGATACACTTCGCAAGGGAGAGGGTCGAGGTACAAAGCTTGTCGTCGAGTTTCAGGATTGATATAACCCTACTCCCAGTCGCTAATGATCTTGTTGAGCCTGCTTGCTTTCTAAAATCTCGCCGTCGTCTGTCTTCTTGTGAAATTGTACTGGGGTTCGCGAAGTATTTGTCAGACTCTTGCGAAACGTATTGGTATTGAACGTTGGATCTCAAGCACATTTTCCCCATTACCATGAAAACAACCTCTTGCTGACTCTCTTCCATCATTTCAATCGCTACGGTGGGCTCTCCGCGTTCCAAGTTGACGGTCGCGAGGGAGATATCATTCTGCAGGAGCTCCAGCCACAGGCACCACGTGGTGGCCGGCCGATCAGCTGGCAAGCTCAGTCAAGTCACGGAGGACGCTGGCATGGACCTCGTCGTATGTGTAGGCTACAAAAGGCATCATCCACCATACACATGTAATTCTTCTTTGCACCGTGATCCGCCAATCTATTATTCGCGTCAGCATCCGTACTTCTTTGCCCTCTCCGTTCTCTTTCTCTCATACCTTGTGGATCTTGTGGATCGGACAACAACGCGGTCGGCTCGACTGCCCAGTGGCTGGCCACCGACACGCCAAAGGGGGCGTCCGCTCGGGTCTTAACTCCGGTCGGGGTGTCTCGTAGCCAGGTCTCGAATTGGATATGCTTTTGTCCCCATCCGCTTGCGCCTGGCACCATCGTGATCACCTGGCTGAGGACGTAGGTTTGGATTGGAGGACCCGCCTCCGCGGTCTGGAGCCACTCATCCTCGTATCGCTCGGGTGCTGTGGGCACGAGGCTCATGCCAGTAACCACCGGATTCAACTTGATGAAGAGTGGCTGATCTTGGAGCAGCTGGCGGATCGTCTCCGGGTCGGCTAACGCGGGGATTATCGTGGTGACGGTGCGATTGTTCGAGACCCGCCAGGGAATCGATAGGAGAGAGGCGACTAAGAGCCCTGTCAAGAGTTTGAAGTGTATCATCGTAGATGATGGGCAAGGATCTGGAGGGTGAGTGAATGGTGAGCAAAGCACAAAATTGCAAAGCGGATTGAGCTTGGTGTCAGTTTCACGTGATTCTGCCAACAGCCGCTCATTTGTCATTTGTGCAAGCACCATCCACCCGGCATTAAGTAAGTTAGTCCGTTTAAAGTAAAGGCTGGATATAGGGAAGGCTTATGGCTGGTCATGGCCCACCTGCAGCTGTTAAGATGCCAAAGTGCGGTGCATCGGATACGAACAACAGAGTATCAACTACAACAAAACCAATCCAACAATGCAAGCCATGGTTCAGTCCAACCTGTCCAGACGGGTCAACACCGGGCACAGAGCCGGTAATAAGTCTTGAAACTTCAGGTTCCAGAGCTTTGGGTTACTCAAAATGAAACTTAAAATCAGAATAAATAAGATCAAAGGTTGCACAGATGCAATGCCTCGCAGATGACATTCTCTCCTGACTTTTCCGGTCTTATTGCAGATTTATAAGCCCGGCTTGATTGCAGTTCCATCTTGCCTGCTTCTGACATCGTCACAGTCGAGGCAAAGACAATGCTACCGACGCTTGCGGCTGCGCTCCGCACCATCTTTGGCAGCTGGGTCAACCCTCTGCCCGACGTCCCGTACATCTCCTGCTTTCCCACCCTGGGCTTCTTATCGGAGCGATGGTCCCATGATCTTTATCACACATCCATGGGTGCCTTGTTTGACGTCGCAGCGCAAGAAGGGATCTCCTGGACCCTGATTGGGGGCCTGCCTGTAGTCTACCTTCGAGATCCGGTCCTGATCCGGCAGCTGTTCGTCCAGAATGCTGACTCCATCAGCCAATGTGGAAGCAAGACCAAAGGCCCCTTTGGTACCAGCAAGCGCATTGTTCGCAATGCACTGATCACCGCCGACGGTGAGGTTGCCAGGCAGTGGCATGCGGATATGCCTCGGGGCTTTCACAACCGACTGCCCCTGGAAGTGTTCCACCCGAAGCTCGTTGCGATCGCGAGGCGCCATGTCCAAGCACTTCTGCAGGCGGGCACGGGCGACAACCTGCAGCTCTACCTCCAAAACTACGCCCTGGATACGGTGTGAGGTCTAGGGCTAGGTCTCAAAAATGCCTCGCTGCACAAATTCATAGAAAGTACACACAGTGCCGGTGGTGGGCACGCATCCCCAGGCAATCATCCTGTCTCCCTGGTCTGGAAATGCGCTCAACTTGATGCGGTAGGCATAACTGTAGAACAGGGTTTCAAAGATGCCAGCTGTGTCGGCCGCCTTGCCTTCCGTGGCACAGCAGAGAAAATAGAGAAAGACAGACAAGAGCCTCATAGTGGTGGAAATGGATAGGCAAGAAGTCAGAAGGACGACGAGGATAGACAGGAACATAGATAGATAGAACCGCACATCGTCAGCAGAGGCTTGCCATTCTTATTATTTTGAGCCCTCAGCTCTTGATTGAACGATGAATCCGTACTACTTCGATCGAGCCTTGCCTCCTTCACTCTCTTCCTCCCCCTTCTTCTCTCTATCTCTCTCTGTCTATGATATTAGCGCCGGAGTGCAGCCAAGTTGGGAAAATGCACATGCAGTGTTACTATAGCTTAGTATGCCTCCGTGGAGTATGTGTGGACAGTAACCACGAGCTTCATACGCGATACTATTCTGCTTGACCACCGCGAGAAGAAGGTTATTTGCAGTAGAGTAGTAATATTCTGCGGACCGTGCGGTAGAACATGTCCAGAAGGCATTCATCTCCGCCGGGAAGAAGCTTGAAAAGGAGTTATAGGTGCTGGGATAGAGACTAAATCCTGCTTTGAAGGTTCTGTACCCTCTTTATGACAGACTGTGCATCTCAGGGTCCGATGAGCTCGGATAGCGCTTTTGTGGTTTTGGGGTGGATTATGGTTTAATACATCATCATAACACATACCCGGGACATTCTACGGCAGGAAAACACATGTACCAGGAGAAGTGTCTTCCTCATTGATTCTGCGAAGAATATTCGGCTGCCTGCCCCTATTCGCAGTTCTTCATTCACACTAAACTAGAAGTTGTAGCCGTGTCAACGGCGCCAGCCCCACTTTCTCGTACCTGTTTTTGCTGGTTTCCTTTGAAATTTGGGACTTTTCTAGTTTCCGAGACTAGTACTTGAATTTTAAACTAAATTTTTGATTGATACATGTTAAGTTACTCAGCACCTCGAATCTAAGTTGGTACATAATTGCTTAGGATTCGGCAACTTGTTAAGTGCGTCTTTCCTTGTATTACGACTTTCTAGTCCAATACTGTTGACACGATGCTCGTCCCACTCCCTGACAAGATTGTTCTCCAGGTGGTATCTTTTCTGAATACCGAGGATCTTTCTCAGTTGGTGCTCGTATTAAAAGACTTCTATTTATTTTTCATCTCTGTTCTTTATGACTAAGTAGTCCTTTTTTTTAATGCTTATTGGGACGACGGATACAGACTTGTGGGGGGGAGCCACAAGAATCCCGTGCGGCGATTCTACCAGGCGATGATCGAAAATCCACGCCTTGCGCTCTTGATCCGGTCCTTAACTCTGTACCTAAGTTATTGTAAGAAGTGGAGGATGTGTGCTGTACTCCCGGCCCTGCCGGAGGCGAAACTTTGTATGTTGATACTGCTGTACGGCGATATCAAATATAAGTATTGCCGCAAGTACCGCGCGTGGCGCAGAGATCTCTGGTCTGATTAAGAACGACAAGATAACTACCGACAGCTGTGGAACTATAAAGATACCTGGCTGGTATTACTGTTGGTCCAGGTCTACCATCTTAAGCAGTTGGCTATCCGCGTGCTGGAGGAATACATGCAGTTTGAATTTGAACACACCCCCCTGACGCAGGGATACACCACACACTTTAACCGCGTGATCCACTAGGTGAGAAACCCGGTGCTTGGGATCCTCCCGCGGCTCTCGCACGTCTCCCTCCGCGACGGACCGGTATGGTGGGATAAAGGCGCTACTAATACCGTGCCTCTAAGGTGATTGCTGCTTTACTTATATATCCTATCTCTCCGCAGCCTCTACATCCGCAACCCCTGTGACAGCTCCCTGCCCTGTTAGCTGCTCTGGGGTCAGATGCTAATATCTGTGTTATTTACGCATATTAATTTGCAGGGGCTGTTAGATGCCCTCTCGAATCTTCCCCAATTTCTTGAATGGTGCCCAAACCTTGAGTTGTTTACTGTAGAGATGGATTGAAACTGGACCTGTTGTGGCTGGGTGGATGTTTCGCAGCTCTACCGTCCGCTCTAAAGGTTGCGAGCCTCCCTTTGCCATCTCTATATAGCCTTTACTGGTGTGGCGTGTGAGGTAGAGCAGGATGCGGAGAGTCCCCAGCCGACCTTCTGTAGTAATCTCTCAGGATTTTTAAATCTTTATACGGTGTATATAGGATGGAGCAGCCTGCTGCCTTTTTACAGCAACTGCGCGCTGGAGCCCGCGAAACCCCTTTGAGCCCTCTTGCCGTCCTTATTACAGCACCTATACATTGAAGATTGCCTCATGCAGGCCTTGTGGGTGCTGGCGAGTGAGCTCGAGGACTTACTCTGATTTCGCTGTGAGGAGTGCGGGCTGCCAGCCCTGTAACGCCTCTTCTGTCAATTTGTCCCCAAGGAGCGCCATCACTACCGAGAGGTGGCGGCATCATCAACGAAGCAGGAGGCTCCGAAGCCGGACCCTGCCTGGGAAGTCCGACTGCGTGGGATGCAGGAGGGATTCAGGGCGCTGGGGGTGTCTCTACGAGTGATCGGACGCGGAGCAAGCGTGTCCTTTCCTCCGGACCGGGCGCTGAGGCACAAATGGCCCATGAACGAAAATGGCGAATACTGGGACGACGGTTAAAATTAATAGCTGTTTAGTAGGATGACGGTCACATGGGGGGAATGCGATAGGGAAAGGGTGGGGGTCTCCGTTTGTCGTGCTTTCAGGGAGAAGAGAAACAATTTGCATGTCCCTTTACATTTTCACTTCTCGACGAATATGATTCGTATAAAATGTATTGTATGGTGCTGTAGAAGTACCCAAAATTGACTCCGATCCCCACAAAACGGGGGAAGTCCCTAGCCCTCTCAAAACACTCAACTTACAGAGATTTCGAGCGCGCAAACCAAGGCCCGTTGTGCTAAGGGGCTTGTGCTTACAAGCCTTTCTGGCAGGGTCTTGTCTGTTCTTGGCTACCGGAACGATGTTGTACCAAGTTCCTAGCTAGCAATTATTGATCCCCGAAATTATCGGCTCCATTGCAAATCCACTTTTTGAAGATTACAGTCCGGACTCCGGTGTCGAGCCGTATTTTATTGCCTCCGACATGGCCCCAGGAGCAATTCGCGATCCGACCGGATAGGCCGGTCCCTGAATCCCTCCGCGACGGCCCGGGCAAATCTCCTGAAATCTGATTCGAGGATAAGACTCGTAGATAAATTCTCCTTATCCCGCTACCAATTTGACACATAGGAACTATTGGAAAGCTAGTCCCAACGTCCCACGAGATTGAATCTTTAGCCGGTGGTTCACCCCACCTATCATCTAGCCCTAGGTGCCTGGGTATAGGCACGCCCCATTTCGTTTTTTCGATAATCTTTCACAAGGGTCAAGGATGTATTCACTGATTAGCAACTTGTCTGTTTCTGCCGGCTTGATCTTCTTCCCTGAGGTTTTCAAGCAAAAATGGGTTCCTAGATGGTGCAGGGACCGTGCTAGGAACTTGGGCCGTAGGCCGAAAGGAGACCCTCAGCCCGGTGCTAAGATCGAGGGAAGTGGCTCTTGCCTCTACCGATTCCACATGGTAATGCGTACAGGTACATTCGAGCCATCAGATTGGACAAATCGAGCCAACTTGCGCAAGATATGCAAAAGGGGGTGAGAGGTGAGGAAGCAGCTGATTTCCTCCGTGACCAGCTGGATATCCAGCAGAACCAATGCCCCGGCTCCTCTGTACAGCGAACGCGAAACAACTCTTCTAGTTTCAGACAGTCCCCTATGTATGCTATCCATGATACTGCCATTATATCTATCGTCTCGCTGCAAAAGCTTCGCTCACCCAAACCTAGAATCCTTTACCATCTTCGAGTGTCTGTCCTCTTTTCTTCTCTTTACTAGAGTCTAGCCTAAGTTCACTTTCAACTTACCCTTCACCGCCAGCCCAACAAGCTTATCTCTTTCTCCAAAGAAAAAAGATCCAACGATGAGGCTTTCTTCTCTCTTCTCACTCGTCCTCCTGAGCGAGGCTGTCGGCCGTGTCTCAGGCAACAACAACAACAACAACAACAACAACAACAACAACAACAACAATTGCTTGGACCAGGTCTCCGCGAACACGATGGCGGTGTTCAGCGGCACGCCGTTCGCGCTGGCCCCCCGGTACGACAACGGATCGGCCTGCGGCGGCTACTGTGACGGCCTGGCCGAGTGCCACGCGTGGCTGTACAGCATGCGAGGCGGGGACTGCCAACTCTATAAGATCGCCCTCTCCACGTTCCCGTCCCAGCATTTCATATATGGCGTCTGCGGGAGTTGTCTCCCTCCGTCGTTGTCGGCTGCTGCTGCTTCTGCTGCTGCCAGTTCTACCGTTGTCGCAGGGGTTGGTTCGCCTGCCAGCTCTAGTATCAGTATATCAACACCGGCGTTCTTCACGGAGATGAGCAGTGGTAGCAGTAGTAGTAGTAGCAAGAGTATTACTCTAAGCATGAGTACAGTTTCGCCGTTGCTTTGTTTTTTTTCTTTATTTGTTTCTTCTTCTTTTTTGTGGTGCCCGAGGGAATTCATCTTGTGTATGATTCTATCATATGCGAATTTCGCTCGGTCCAACACAATCATTTCAAGTCTGTAACCTTAGGTATTAAAAGGTTGGGATAGAAAAGGCACATCGACAACCACCGTCACCACCACCACGGTCATCAGCATTGAGATTAGGTCCGCCCTAGAGCTGAGTTGTATTTCCCTCTTATTTCTCTCTCTCTATCTTCAGAAAAAAAAAGGCTTGCAGGCAGATATGGTTAAATAGGATGTTTCATCTTACTGCGTCCGCACGAACGATTGTACAAGAACTTAAAGATTCTGTTGGAATTGTTTTCCTGTCAGGGGAGGATGATATCAGTTGGATAATCTCCGGATGACATTCAGTGTATACTGGCTGCTGGCAGGTACTGTCTACTGTCTATGTATTCCACCAAGGGGGTAGGTAACATTACCCCTCCTATCCTCCTTAACCCCCAAGTTCAACTCACTGAAAATGTCGGCGTTGCGCGTGTAACGCCTCGGTTCAGCGAGGTCACATGATTTCAATCAGAACTGCGAGTATGTAAACACCACGAATTCGTGGAGATCTCTTCCTTCCTTACCAATTTCATGAATCTCAAGGCATCAAGCTTTCCTCTTTGAGCACGTATTTCCATCAGTATTACACGATAAAGCAACAGAAAACAAACACAAAATGGTTTTTTTTGTTATTTATCTTGCTATGTCGAATGCTCAATGGTGCTAGTGGCAGTAGTAGTAGCAGTAGCAGTACCTCGACGCGGTGGTCAACGAAGTCCTGCGGCTGTACCCGCCCATCCCCACCACGCCCCGAGCCATTGAAGTGCGCCGTTGGCCTGAAGACCCGATCCGGCACCGGCGTCGTGCTGCCCGTGGATGCGCGCGTGGCCGTCTCGCTCGACATGCTGCATCGGGAGCCGCAGGTCTGGGGCGCGGATGCCGCGGAGTTTCGGCCGGAGCGGTGGGAGGGGCTGCGCGGGAATGCGCTCGAAGGCCAGTGCAATTACTTGCCGTTTCTGACCGAACCCCGACGCTGCCCGTGTAGCGGCTATGTGATGCAGCAGGCGAAAGTGTTCCTGGCGGTGCTGGTGCTCGAAGCGGACTTGGAGGTCACGAACGCGGCGACGGTGCGGAAGAGGCTGGGTCCGGTTTCGGAGCCAACGGTGTCGCTGGTGTTCTCGGTGCAGGCGCACCAAGGCATGGGAATTTAGGGTTTGTGGACGCATCGCTATTCGGAGAGGTTGAGGCTCCTTAGACGTATGCACATGTCGATAGTTCGAAGGAGATTACATGGATCTTACAGGGCCAAGTCTATATATCTGATAGATGGGTTTTATGTACTCTATAAAAACTCGTGTTAACTCATACTACTGCTTGAAATCATATTAAGAAATGGAATAGAAAAATAAACATGCGGCCAAAAACATACAACAGAAGGGATTCGCTGGTGGTCACCCACCCAACTACTAACCTCCCGGCGTGTGGCTTAAGTACGGCTGAGCGGACGGGAAGCCCTGTTTTCCACACCCTATGGTCGTATGTGCTTGTTTTCCTGCTGACACATATTATATACCAAGGATGTTATCCATGATACGTAAACAAACAATGTCAGTATCGAAAAAAAAGATTCTGTAAAGATGTTGGAAAGAGCACAACAGGCAGGTCTTCCACAATGTGTGCAGAGTTTGCAGATCTGGGGACAAGCAACCGAGGGATTCCCCGGGGGTACCCGCTTAATATAGCTTGGTACAGCAAGCCTTTGCTTATATACGACTAGTTTTCCCCTAGGTCCTCGACTAGCTATCTCGCTATCAGAATGGGCCTATGAGGGGGACTGTGTTGGGGTAACTGGGTCAAGACGGTGTCCCCTTCCGTCGTTCCGCGGAGACCCCCCCATCAGACTAGATAAGCTTCAGCGTTGTGAGTTGTCGGATTGCGACACTTATCTCTGATCTGCATGCCCGGATCCGAACCTTATTCCTAGCCGAGAAGACTTCCCCGACGATCCAATAACTCACCCCACTGCCCATTCGTCGCATCGGTCTTGCTCGTATCCGCAGAGAGGTCCATAATGCTGTGGGGTTCCGGCCAGGAAACAGCCAAGCGATCGCATACCAAGGGCTCACAATAATCCTGCGTACATATACCCGCTCTCGCTGCTCATCCCTTCCTTCCAATTCAGTGTGCGTCCCCCAGTTCCCTCACTCACCATGTCCTCCATCAGCCTGGATTCGTTCTCCCCCGCCGAGGTGGTCGAGCTCATTGCCCGCACCGGCGCCACCAAGGGCCACATGCGCCTGGACAAGGTCTTCTTCAGTGCTGTATCAGCTGGCTCCCTGCTCGCCTTTGCCTGCGGAACCTCCTTGAGCACCAATTCCTCGCCTTGGTTCACGGAGAATGCACCCGGGCTGCTCCGCACCATCAGCGCCTTGGTCTTTCCCTACGGTCTGTGCATGATCATCCTCACTGGAGCTGACCTCTGCACTGGTTCTTTCATGGTATTCTCGATCCCTCTCCGAGCTGGTGCCTGCACAAAATCTGACCTCCAGCCTTGGTAGTTCACCACCGTCGCTGCCCTCCAACGCCAACTCCCCTGGTGGAAAATGCTCCTCCACTGGTTCGTCACCTTCTGGGGCAACCTGTGCGGCTCTCTCTTCGTCGTCGCCATCATCTTCGGCTGTGCGTTCTTTCCTACTCCCTAACCTTTTATGTTGATACTAACCTCCACTCCCACCCCTCCATAGATGGAGGCATCTTCACCGCCGACCCCTACAAATCCGAAGCCATCGACTACGCCACCAAGAAGCAACTCACCCCGTCCTTCCACGAGATCCTCCTCCGCGGCATCGGGTGTAATTGGCTTGTCTCCCTCGCCTGTTTCTTCGGGCTGCAGGGCCGCGACCTCGCGTCCAAGATCATCGGCATCTGGTGGCCCATCTTCGCCTTCGTGTCCATGGGCTTTGACCACGTGGTCGCAAATATGACCTTCATCCCGCTGGGGATCTGGTTGGAGGCCCCAGGGCTCTCGGTGGGGCTGTACATCTGGAAGGGGATCATACCGACCTTGATTGGGAATATACTCGGTGGTGGCTTTTTTGCGGGTAGGTTTCTTGCTCGGGTTTCTGGTAGTGGGTTATGCTGACGGTCTACGCACAGGGACATATTATTGGTATATGTATCTTGTCGATGGGGGGAGTGTGAGCTTGGCGGGGCTGAGGAGGCGGAAGTACAGCGGGGAGGTGGAGTCGGGGGGGTCCAGTCCGGGAGGGGAGATGCTCGATGTCGAGGCTGCCGCTGTGGTGGGGGATGTGAAGAGGGCTTGATGGTGGGGTGTGATGAGACCATGATCAAATAGATCCTGTCGGTAGGATATCAAGACCTTATGCAGATCAGATTTGACAGTGTTCTATTTCTACCCCCCAATAATGGACACTCCAACGCCATCCGGGTCAGGTGGCCAGAATTGTTGGCAATATATATATTTAGGCAAGGGTAAAGTGTTAACCAATTATTCTAGGCAAAGGTATGTTTATGATAAACTTGTCGTGCTAGTAGTCTAAGAGAGATGTGAAATACCCTGTATGTAAACTGCATCTAGTTTCACCGGTTCTCAAAATATATGATTTTTGTTCATCGTAAGGATAGTTGTGTTCTGGCCGATTGTATTAGCCCTAGCATTGCAAAGGAACAGGAAGTCAAGTTGGAGTCCGCATTTCAACAATTGGGGCTGTGGTTTAGTGGTATAATATTCCCTTAGCATGGGAGAGGTCCGGGGTTCGATTCCCCGCAGCTCCATCTTTTTTGGTTGTGCTCTCTGTTTTCCACTATCATTGCCTGAGGCATGGAATATCCCATCCTATTGATGCGAGCAATTTTTCTTATTAGTTGTGAGGACGCATCAAAGAGGTGGAAGATGCTTGGATTCTGACTACGTCAGGCTAACTGCGAGAATTAGCGAAGGCCGCAGGCTGCCGCCGTCAAGTTGAGCAACCACCACTTACCCACACTGTTCATCTGTAATTGGTCAACTAGCCTTCATGCACTAGCAGTAGTCAACCAGCCAGACAATTCGCCTAATAAAGATGCACTAGCTAGAATTGTCTTGTCATGGGATCGCTCACTTGCAGTAGCCTTTTCTGAACTCTAGCTTAAGCCAGGACCCGTGGCTGTAACCTCACCTTGGACGAGACCAGCACCTAACCCTTATTTCGGTATCATCCCCTCTCCAGGTCAGCCAACAAGCTCTCATGATAGTCTCCGGCAGTTTCTATCTTTCTACTCTCTATACCGCATATCACCGGTTCAAAACCCCTCCAACACCGTCGGAGAAACCACCCAGATGGACAGTTTATTTGTTTAGCCGGAAGGAACCCCGGCTCAGCCCAACAACAGGGGTATGTTCTTAGTGAACACTAGCGTTGGCCTATCTCGCAGCTTTCCCCAATGGCAGACAGGCAATACAGGCGAGCTATAGATATCCTGGTTCGATGGCTAAATTGAGCATGGCCTAGCATGGCTGCGGGCGTAGACAATGTGAAAACCGGTTACCCGAGCACAATAGACGAGCTGCTAGTCCTGCGCAACGGCTGAGGCGGAGTACCCTCCATCATTACTCCAAAGGGAATGCCCACGTCTTAAAAGACCCTACGGCGCTGCTGGTCGTGCCACTTTTTACCTGGCACTCAATACTTCTGACGCAAGATGGCACTCCCAGGGCGTGCGTGGAGCAGCCTGCTACTCTTCTTGCTTCTCTCTACTTCGCAACTGTGTCTTGTTCACGCCGATGGATTCACCTTCCCAACCGATGATGTGTATCAATTCATTGTCGGAGACCTGGTCAATGTCACCTGGGATTGGGTGTCACCACGCATCTCGCTCTACGAAGTCTGCTCCACGGCCGTTCTTCTAGAATGTATGTCCCTCAACCCTATCAGTGCCTCAATTCTTCTAGACACAAGCACAAGCACCGCTAACACAGATAATCAAAAGCCAATGTCTCCGACACACAAAGCTACGTCTGGAACGCCACCCGAGACAATTATAAGGAGTCGGGCTGTGTATTTGAGCTTGTCCCCCTCACGGACGACGGCACTCCCAACCCCCCAAACTTAACCAGCGTCATCATCGGCGTCAGCAAGCGATACACCAATGACCCAGCACCGACCTCCTACAACTTCGGTGGCACATCCTCCTCGACCGCGACCTCCTCCGCTACCGCCTTTCTAACAACGACAAAAGCATCCTCATTCACTACAACCACAACCGCGGAGCCAGCATCGGCGACGATATCGTCCTCCACTGCCAACGAAACACCCACAGCCATCGCAAAGACAGGCCTCACCACCGCCCAGAAAGTAGGACTCGGGCTCGGAGTCCCGCTGGGGGTCTTGGCGCTATCACTAGCCGGGGCGTTGATCTTCATGTACCGCCGTAGGCAGCGACGGAGACGCGAGGGTGGATCGTCTGCACAGCTACCATTGCCGCCATCGCAGCAGCAGAGTTCAGAGCATCTGTACTATGCTGTTCCACCAATGGCTGAACAGCCGAAATCCCCGTTTGACGGGTCACGGATGTCGCGGGTGTCCGGGGCAGAGACGCTGATTGCGGAGCTCCCGGCGGCGGTGGAGGCCCAGTCGGAGAGGGGGGATAGTCTGCGGCCGGTTAGTGAGCTCATGGGGACACCGAGGAATGAGTTGACATGATGAGGAGAGAGGTTGACTGTGAGGTATAAGGTGGGACTTAATGGTCATAGTTCTCGAGCGTTGAGATTCCTTAATGAATGCTAAGCTAGACCTTGGATTAGGGTTATATAATGTCTGCATACTAATGTGATAAAAATAATTTGAATGTGGTGGGGGTTCAGTCTCCAGTGTATATATTGGTGGCGCACCATGTGACTGGAACAATTGAACAGTTTTGTTTATCTTTTCTATATGCCGGAATATAGTATGGGTGCTAGTTTTATTAAAGCTTTTCATTCAGCCTGAGCCTGTGTACTGAATAACGATGAAGGTGAAGGGCTTGTTATACAAATACTTGGCAGCTATATGTCTTGCTCCATTGAGTCACATGATGGGCATGACCCCGCACACTGTCTCTGTGTCTGTTCTGTTTGCCCTGTTTGTCTCGCTTGCACTGTTTGTCTCCCCCACACGCCTCGCATCAACAATGAAACCGGAAAAGAAGACAACAACATCCACCACGCGAAGAACGTACGGCCACTTCAGTCTATTATCTATGAGTGTATTGAAAGAATATCAAATCACGCCCTCAGCTGTTAGATTTGCCGTGCCAGTCCTCCAAGGCTATTGATAAATAAGCCCAGCAGTCGCAAGGCGCAGGCCTCGTTCACGCTACCATCGTACCACTGGAATTCCACCTGTAGTCGATCCTCAACTTCCTCCACCCCGAGGAAATAATCATAGGCCCGGAGATCCCTAATGGATAAGCTGTGTGATATCCAATGCGGCTGAGACACCACCCGCTTTGATCGATGCCAACATGGCTACTGGCATCCACTTCGACTTTTCGAAGCACAGGATAGCGGAATCGCCAGGTCGAAAATTGTTGGCAAGTAACTAAGATTCTAGAGAATGCGTATGCTCGCTCAGCTCTTAATAGGTGAGATTACCGTCCCAAGCGCAGACTGCTGGGGAGTCTGGCTGGTGCTTCTGGAATGCATCCATCATGGCGCCACTGATGGATACTCCCGCGGGCCGTGGAACCTCTGCATTCCATGACCAGATATCTGCTTCATCTTTCTCGCTGACTGCGTTGATCTCTGCAACGGTTGACAACGGCGCAGCGGTCATCGAGCGCTGGAGGACATGGGCAATTGGTCAAGCATCTGCTCTGCTTGATCAGGTTCGATTATGTGGAGATCAAAGCCAGCACGTAGCGAAATAACCTCTGGCTGTAGCAAGCATTTAATAATAGTGGCATGCGTGTTGAAGGCTGTCAGCCTTTCTGCAACTCGGGGCTCATCCCAAACCCGCCTCATCATGGTTGGATTGCCGTCCTGAGATTATTTCGCAGCGGGCTGTACCACGAGTAAGGTCTGAAATTGACACCCCCTCGCCGCGTCGGGGCCGAGTCGCCGGAACTTTTGCAGACCGGGCTGCTCGAATGGAATCATATCGATCGTCTGTTGCTGGATTCTTTGCAGTAAAGACTCCACGGTATCCGTATTTTCGAAGCGAATTCGCAGGGGCACGGTGGCAATGGTCGGTCCTGTGACGTTCTCGATGCCGTGCACTGAACTCTGGCATCCGCTAATGCTGGTGGAAACCAAGATAATCCGCAACAAGGCAGACTGACACGAGCATCTGACCGTCGCCTCGGAGTTCAACGCCAAGATCGAAGGCCCGCTGTACTGCAATCTGCTGGGTCCAACACAGTGGCCTTCCGAGGGGTCGCTGCCGGAATTTGCGCCTCTCGTGCAACAGCCGATCAAGGAGGTAGCGGGAGTCGCAAACACCGTCCGCGGGCTGGCCGCCAAAGCGATGGGGATTGACAACCGTCTGTTGGACCAGCTGTTCGATGCCAAGCAGCAGTATCGTGGACGGATGATCAAGTACCCATCTCCGCCTGCCGATGCGGATCCGGCAGCGGTGCAGGCATTGGGTGCCCACCAGGACACTGCGTTTGCAACCCTCATTTGCCAATTGACTGACCATATCTCGCTGCAGGTGCAGAACGCCCAAGGGACCTGGATCGATTGTCCGCCTGTGCCTGGATACCTCCACCACCGCCCTATCTGCAGACGCTAAAGGAAGAGCTTCGAGCCCAGCATGGGAAGCTAAACTACGAGCTTCACGAGTAACTGCGCGAGAATGAACGATTTCCGACCGTGGGGTCACGGGTCTTTCACAACTATGCTCGAAGCTATCCCGAGGTTGTGAGGAGATGAGTGAGTGCGCCCCAACAAGCAACCAATTCATAAGCAGAGCTCGCTAACAAGAGATCCAAGTTCCCTAGTTAAAAATTGACCAGTGAGCGTAGCGAACAGGGTCTTGTACCTGGGAAGTTCTCCCTTGGAGATTGGCTAAACCATTCAGGAGGCTTTCCTGCTGGAAGGCAAAACACCTCAGGCTTAGGACTTTCTGTCTGTTACTTCTGATAGCGGATACCTCCTGAGTGTGCTCTAGACTACTATGAACAACTATGGGCAAAGAAATCACAGAAAGGATGAAGGTATTACAAAGTATCTGTTGCTGCATTTAAGTTACCTTTTGGCTGAACGGTGAGGGTTATTTCCGTCACGGTCGCATATCGTGATCAATTCCCGGGGACGAACGAATAGTGCAAACAATGGCCTACTCCAAACATCGCAGAACACAACATCAATGTAGCAGTTCAGGCATTGAGCATCGCTCTTCCTGGAATTGATTCGACCATTCCAAACCCCAAACAGTTCACAAAGTGTGTTCGAGGTGCGGGATGTGTCAGATCACCCAACAAGGACTTAACCCTGCCATTCTCTCCAAGGGGTGACCGGATACCTTGGATACCTTTTTGCCGAACAGTCAAGAGTTATTTCTTGGGATTTCAAGGGCTCTATATCGCTAATCATATACCTTGATTGGTCCATTCCAATGAGACATTTTTACTCTTGGTCATATGCAACGAACTATGTCCGTAGTTCATACTTTGTAGATGGTCCGCTTATTTACGTAGGTGCCAGATTCAGTCGCGGTCAACATGGAAGTATGATAACTTGTCGTTGGCATGATGCCAATTCAACCAAGAAGATGCCCCTTAACGAATGAGCCCAGAAGGCAGTTACTGTTGACAGCGCGGAAACAAGTAAATCTCAGCGACGACAGACAGTGACTGGGAGGCTGAGACTCATGACAAGCCAGGCCCAATTGTGATGCGCGGTATTTCTTTATCCAGTAGCAAATGTTATCACGACCACTGCAGTCGCATGCCCTAGACGTGGAGATTGTTTTATGTTGGATTGACTTAGCCAGACCCGTGGCGCTGCGTCTAGGCCATTGCGATCGCAAGCTGCCGCGTGAACAATGGTCAACAACCGCAAATAAGCTTGGGTTGTAGAGTTAGACCTTACATACAGGTCGCCAATCCGAGATGACAAGAACTTGTCATACACATCTTGCAGGACACACATGCTCATGGTTCAGCTGGGGTTAAAGTTCTCGAAAGCTTCGTGACGTGTCCGACTTCCCGGCGTCAGATCATGGAACCCTACCATTCAATCAACAAACATGTGAACGCTTATGCGCTGCGATCTGGAACTGCCCACACGTGTCCTGCCTCGTATCAAAGTCTGGATGCGGCAAAGTCAGGGCTTGCGGGTCTTGCCCTTCCTGGCATAGGCTCTTTTAGCATGACTATGAAAGTTTTGCTGTCCACACCAGTTCTGTGGTATAAAAAAAGTTTGAATAGCTTCAATGTTGTGGCATGAGTGATGATATCTGCAAGCACTACAGTCAAGCCTGTAGTTTATTTTCTATTCTTGTCGCACCCCTCTGGTCATGGGGTCAGACCTCAAAGACTATGCACGGCGTCATGGCACGCCACAAACCATAAAGCTTTTCAAACCAATGCTACAATGATGCTATTGAGACCTGCGATACGTAACAGAATATCATATGACTAGTAGACTGTGTAATTGAAACAGAGATAGAGAATTCCTGGTTCTGAGCCAAAGAGAATCATGGCATATGCTGAAAAGGCATATACGCTGGCAACGTCGAGGCTGAGCGCAAAGGTATAAGTGGACTTGGTCCTCAGGTTCCGTTCAAAGCTCTGGAATTTTTCACACTGATCAATCCACAGCCCAAGTTCAAAGCCGACTGAAGAACCCAAGATTGAAGAACAAAGCTTGAGATTTTATTGCTGACCGAAATCGAAAATGGGTTCCTTGTTTCAATCCACTATCGACAGGATTATTTCATCTCACACCGCGAAAACTCCCCAGGCGACAGCTGTTGAAGATGGCAACCGCAAGCTGTCTTATCAGGAGCTTGAGAGAAAGGTGGTCAGTCTCACCTTGATGCTCGCGGAGCACGATCTCAAGCATGAAGAGCCAGTCTGCATCTTGGCAAATCTCGGGGTTGAGGTTGTCGTCGCTCAGCTCGCTCTCATACGCCTTGGCTTGACATGTATTCCCTTGATTACATGTACACCAAGGCTTCGCCTTATGAGTATCCTGAGGGATGTGGGCGCAAAATATGTTCTTTCAGACTCGAAAGACGTTCCTCTGGACAGTGAATTCACAGTCCTTCCCATCACTGTCGATGGCGAAGAATGGCAAGGCCATGACGCCGATCGTGCGGGGTGTGCCGACGGTGTCAATGGCAACCAATGCTCATTTCTTGAATGCCAAAACCCCAACTATCGTACTCACATCCTGTATACCTCTGGATCTACCGGAAAGCCCAAGCCGGTGCAGGTTATGGAGCGAAGCATCCTACATCTAGCGTCCAAGAGCCCGCTCGGAATACTGGACCCAACCGACAAAGTCGCCGTAATCAACAACCCCGGATTCGACATCTCCCTCTTTGAGATATTCACCGGTTTGGTCGGAGGAGCAACCCTTGTGATCGTGCCTCGCATGGTGGTCACAGACCCCTTCACCTTCCGCGAGTTTATCGCGGAGAAGAGACCTTCGGTCATCTATCTGACCTCCACCTTGTTCGGGATCATCGCCCACGCCTGCCCGACCACCTTCCACAATGTCAAGCATCTTCTGATCGGCGGAAGTGCTGCCAACTTAGCAGCAGTCAAGGCTGTCGTAAATTCGTCTCAGCCGCCAAAATACTTCTGGAACACATATGGCCCGACGGAGATCACGACACATGCTGCAATGCACCTGGTCACACCGTCAGAATTCAAGTACGATAACATCGGTCTCGGGAAACCTTTTGGCAATGGGCGCCTTCGTTTGGTGGATGAGGATCTCAGTACCATTACCACCCCGGGCGTCGTCGGTGAGGTTCTCCTCACTGGGCCCGGCTTGACACGTGGATACGTCGGCCTCCCCCAGGAAAATCAGTATCGGTTCGTGCAGCTCGAAGATGGCCTGCGGTACTATCGGAGCGGTGACCGAGCCAAATGGCGGAAAGGCGAGGTAGATGTTCTCGAGTTCGCCGGACGCACGGACTTTCAAGTCAAACAGGGTGGCTTCCGCGTGGAGCTTGAAGAGATCCAGCATATGCTACTCTCTAGCGGTCAGCTCGTGGGGGCTGTCGTCGTTCAGGTACCCGGAAGCAGCGTGACTGTGGGTGCGTTCATCGTTGCGTTTGTCATTCCAGCAATCGCCGATACTCTACGCCTCGGAGCGTTGGAGGAATATCTTGGGGAGAGGCTGCCTGGATATATGATCCCAAGCGATATTGTGTTTCTCCAGGAGTTCCCATTGAACGATCACGGGAAGATTGATCGCAAGGCCTTAATTCAAAAATACCTCATGGAGCGAGAGCACAAGAAGTCCGAATTTAAAGACAGGCGTGACACCGCCACCATCGTCAGGGGCCTCTGGTCCTCGTTGCTCAACAAATCATCTTTCAACCAAGACGATGACTTTTTCCGATTGGGGGGCACCTCGTTGCAGGCGGCGGCCCTGATTGCCAAACTCCGCGAGCACACGAGCAGAACAATTTCCATGCGAGGACTGGTGGAGAACTCCCGTCTCCACGAGCTGGTCGCCTATCTGGGCGAATTTGTCGAGGGGGGCAATGCTCCCGACGACGCCGATTGTTGGATCGCCGACGCCCGATTGACCGATGATCTGAAGATCAATCCGGCCTGGTCCGCTCAGGATTGGGACTCGGTCATAGACTGGACTGCCCCCGGGGAAGGACGTCTTTTCTTGACCGGTGTCACGGGGTTCGTGGGGGCCCATTTTCTCTTTCGCTTTCTCAATATGCCGGAGGTGCAGGAGGTTGTTTGCCTTGCGCGCGCGAAGAGCGGCCAGACACCCCGTCAGCGCGTCGAGCACACTCTCAGACGCTATGAGTTTCACGAACGAGTGTCAGATCACCTCGACAAGCTGACTGTCCTTGAAGGCGATATCACACAGAAGGACCTTGGGTTATCCGTCAGCGAGTACATCCAAATGGCGGACAGGACCAGCGCGATCTTTCACATCGCGGCAAAGGTCAACTACTGCGAGCCATACTCGGCTCATTTCGAGCCCAACGTTCTAGGAACAAAGAACCTTCTTGAGCTGGCTGCGCAAGGCCGTAGGAAAGCCTTCCACTACATGTCCAGCCTCGACGCGTGGGGTGCTACCGGTCTCATCTACGGGACACGGGTCCTATTGGAAGACGAACCTCTTCTCCCACATATCGGGTCCCTTGCATTCGACATTGGCTACGCATCCAGCCAGTGGGTGGCAGAGCAGATGGTCCGCGGTGCCCGCGATCGCGGCCTTCCTGCCGTGATCTATCGACCCGGGTTCGTCATCGGGGACACGCGACACGGCGCCGGCAATCCGGATGACTTCGTGTCCCGCCTGTTCATGGGATCGATTCGCCTCGGAGCGTTCCCGCATCTCCCCAACCAGCGCATGGAGTTTGTCACGGTGGATTACGTCTGCGATGCGACATTGCATATCGCCTTCAAGAGGAGCAGCTTCGGTCGCTCGTACTGCCTGGTGCCGCCCTCGCCCGCAATTTCCGTGGATATGGAGAAGACGTATGAGATTCTGGTCGAAGCAGGCTATTCGCTTCGCTTGCTTCCCTACTGGGACTGGGTTCGCGAGCTCCAGGAGATTGAGGATCAGGACAATCCGCTGAACCCC